CGCGACTCGGGACTGGCCCGGCTCGGGGTGCCCCGCCGCCTCTCGCGCCCCCTCTCCGGCGTGGGCACGGGGGCATCTTCGCCGCCCCGTCGGCGCCCTCTTCTCACGGTGCGATAGCGGCGCCTGCCTTGCCGAGGGCCGCAACGAAACAGTTTACAGATGCTGTTCTCTTGTTCGGGTGACCTCCCGCGCCTCGCTCTCAGGGTCGTTGAGGCAGCGGGCGGCAAGCAGCCGAGGAAACGAGAGCGGTAGCGAACGGTAGAGAAACAACAAACAACGCAAGAAAGACGGAACGTAAGGAGACGCAAGCATTCTCGTGTTGTGATGTTATGTCGTCGTCCGGGTCGTTGGGATCTTGACGTGCGTGAAGATATTGGCGTCGAAGTCGAGGTTCACTGGGAAGCTGGACGCGGGCGCGCCCTGCGAAGCCCCCTTCACTCCAGCTGCTCCAGGAAGTTGGGCGACTTGAAGTACTCTGGCACGGGGTCGTCCAGGCGGGAGATGATTTTATAGATGGACTTCTTCCACGACTGCTCCGTGTCCTTGCCGCTTTGGATGGCTTTGAAGAACTCGCGGAGGGTCTGCTCCACCACGAACCGAAAGTTAGGGGGCACCTGCAACGGAAAACGGTGAGCCTGAGGTGTCTACGCCCGCATGTGCTCACAAAGAAGCGGGATGGCCGGCCCGAGCATGCAATGGAGCAGAGGAGAAGGGAGGGGAGACGTAGAAAGGGAAGCGAGGAGCAAAGGGCGAGTGGCGTTCTAGGGACAAGTCGTCAGTGCCCATCGCAGAACTATGCGCCGTTTGAACGACGCACAGAAGCGACGTATGAGCGACCGATGGCGAGGATTTGAGGATAATGACTTAGTAGGTTAGTGGAAAGAATGGGATTCCTGATTGGAGATAGTAGTGAAGGAAAACGTTCCTCGCGGATTTCTCCTACAAGAAACTAGTGTGATACGTTACGGATATAATCGGAAACGAACGCCATGTATGTAGGATAGTACGGAGCGGTTTGGTACTCACATTACGGAAGATCAAGGAAGAATGAGGCCAATGTAAAGTGAATGTGGTAGGACTCGTGGATTCTATTGCGAGGTGGGTGCGGGGCGCGGAGCGGGCCGGCCTGCGGCGGCAAAGAGAGCTGTGACAGAAGAGGGCGCACCTGTGGCCTCCATACCTCTATGTGGTTGTTCCTGTTGTAGTGCAGGTTGAGCACGCGGTAGATCTCCGAATCGGCACTCACGTGGATGTCTTCAGCGTTCTTCACGCCCTCGCTCACCGCCTGACGGGCATACTTCTCCATTTGAATGTAGTAGAACTCCCTGCAGACAGACATGCAGGTTTCGTCAACACATGAAGCAGAAAGGAAATGGTTCACATATAAAGAATAGAGAGGGAAAGGAGGGATAGCGCTGGTCGAAACTTTAAACGAACGTGAAACGGTCTGTGGAGTCTCTTCATATATGTTTGCAATATCTTTGCACCAATGTTTCATATCTGATAATACTCATGCAATCTTGCAAACTGCAGTCTTGCTTCCAAAAAGCCATGTTCTTGAGACAAGGCAGCCGTGGAAGAAGCTCACCTATCAAATCATCTCTCGCGTGAACGACCTCGTGTCAGAGTTTTTCAAGTCTTCTTCAACTTCTTGAAGAATCTAACATAAACTCTTTTACATACAGAATAGACATACAAGTAATCATTTTATTTCTAAGATAAATAATATGAATAACTTAAAACAATCAATTAAAATAGAATGAGCACATATACACTTACAATGATAAAACCACTTTTTGTTTAGTACATAGAAAACACGGTCTTTAGTTCAAAAGAAAACAATAATTTGAGAGTAGTATTTGAGAACGAAAGACACTGCATTGTTCATTTCACGAAGCATCCGACATGTTAAGCGCGACTTCTCGCAATACCGAAGCTTACCGAGGCAGGCGTTCACACCTGTTTCTTCTCGTTGAGCCGACCCCCATTGTTGCTCTCGGCAGTCAAATCTTGAAAAAGTGCGAAATATTTTAAATTGGCCCGTCTTCTAACGCAACGAGCTCCCGGCAAGCGGAGCGGAAGCGGGCGGCACGCGGAGCGAAGAGGCAATCGCACCCGAGGGGGCGCCTGTCGCGGGGCGCCAGTGGCTGCGGGAGGGGGCGTGCCGGGGCTTGCCGGGGCGGGGCGGGCACGTGTCGAGCGCCCGGTGAACTGA